AGGAGACACTGTAACAGCCAAAGTTCAGACATGAGATGTTTCGTGACTTCTCGCTGATATTTGGGTCTCACCCTGACAGTCAGTGAGAGGTGTGGTGTCTCGAGTATGACTTTCTCAGACTCGTCCACTCCAGCCTGCCACAGCAGGCTTTACTTATCTAGGACCCCTGAGATTTACACGGCCAGCTTCCTTCACAGGCCACCCTGGGGTTGGAAGTCATGTGACTGGCTTTGGAGCAGCACAGGTCCCATCAGCACCACTTGTGGCAATCTCACTGTGATGGGAGGGAGTTTTTCTGTGTCTGACAAAAGACACAGAGCAGGGACCCCTCTCTCTCAGGGCATAACCAGGACCTTGCCCATGTGTTCGCTGGGTATGTAGTCTGTCTCCTGCTGATGTCACTGAACACCCAGAAAATAACCATGGGACACGAATGGTCCCTCTTGCAGCCTCTCCAGAACACATGGCGTCAAAGCCCGAGATCCGCTGTGCCTGGTGGGATTGCAAGAGGCCTCTAGCTGTTTCGATCTTTTTCCAGAGCTTAACTTCACCTTTCATGATGAGGATTTACAGAGTGGCATCCTCAGCCCCTTTTCGCTGCAAACACACAGAGGCTTCTGGAATGCAGAATTTCGGGGCTAGGGAAGGAGAGGGGATGCTGGTAGAGGCATCTGTGGGCCGAGTAGGAGGCATGGGCCTGGAGACGTCTCAGCTGGAAATGTTAGGTAGTAATGGGCAGGCAGACCATGTCAAGAGAATGTGTGTGTTGTGCCATGTTAGGGGTACATCAGTGTGCAGGCCAGCGTGCTGGGACAGTGGGAGTCCAGTCTACCCTCCAGCCAGGCTTGGGGCTTGGGCTGATGGTGGTAGGACCAGTGCCATTCCCACCTTTTCTCTTTCATTGTCCACATGTCCAAAGTAGATGCTCCCGTTCATAATCAGGTATGCCCATGCTGGGAATCGAAATAACATGCTGTAGTGAACAAAGTTAATCCTCACATGCCACTCTGTGGCAAGAAGAACCAGATGTGAGGCAGGTCCTCAGCCTGCATCCCTTCATACCAAACCTGGGGCCACAATTCCAACTTCCATATTCACACATAACGATGAATCCATAGAAATAAAGGGGAGATCTATGTTGTGTATCTTCAATTTTTTTCGTTTTATTGTATATATTTGAAGTATAAAACATGCTGCTATACACACACAGTGAAGGTTGCTATAGTCAGGCAAATGAACCTGTCACCTTCCTCAGTTACCTTCCTGCATCCTATTTTTGCAAGTAAACTTTTCCCAAAAACCCTACTCTCATGTGACATTCCAGTTGGTTGGCCCATTGGGGGAATTTTCATGAATCCCCATCATGTGCTATTCAGTAAAAATATCGAACCCACTAAGCGTGCCTTTTCATCCAGGTGAAGTAGAATTTGCTCTCCTTCACTTGAGAGCTGAAGGCAAGGAGGAATCAGGCAGAGGGGGAGGGAGCAAGTGCAGGCCAGACAGAGGGAAGGGCGGGTGTGAGGCGGTGGACAGAGAGAGCAAGAGAATGAGTGCGCATGCTAGACAGTCCATAAGCATTGGTCGACTGATGAACAGAAAGAGGTTTAGAATGTGGAATACTGACTGATGAACAGAAAGAGGTCTAGAATGTGGAATACTGAGGGTGGGTGCAGCAGGAGGAGGGGTCTGCTACGGAGGATGCATTTGCGGGTAGCCGGGGCCTGATGTCCCTAGTCCAGGAGGCTGGACTTTATCCTAAGGGCAGCAGGCAGCCCTGGTAGAGTTTGAAAAGGTTTGACATGACCAGATAAGGAGTTAAGAAAGTTGCCTCACACACTGGCACTGAGAATGCGTGGGAAGGGGTCAAGACTGGTGGCAAGAGGATGAGCTATGATTTGTTGGTGGTATATACCCAAAGGATTATAAATCATTCTACTATAATGACACATGCACACGTATGTTTACTGCAGCACTATTTATAATAGCAAAGACTGGGAATCAACCCAAATGTCCATCAATGATAGACTGGATAAAGAAAATGTGGCACATATACACCATGGAATACTATGCAGCCATAAAAAACAATGAGTTCACGTTCATTCTCAGCAAACTAACACAGGAACAGAAAATCAAACACCACATGTTCTCACTCATAAGTGGGAGTTGAACAATGAGAACACATGGACACAGGGAGGGGAACATCACACAGCAGGGCCTATCAGGGGGTAGCGGGGGCAAGAGGAGGGAGAGCATTATAACAAACACCTAATGCATGTGGGGCTTAAAACCTACATGATGGGTTGATGGGTGCAGCAAACTACCATGGCACAAGTATACCTATGTAACAAACCTGCACGTTCTGCAAGTGTATCCCACAACTTTAAGTATAATAAATAAATTTTTTTTAAAAAGTTTAAAAAAAAAAAAGATCTCACTTAGAAAGACCCGGGAGGTCGAACTGGCCAGGCTTAGTCACTGTGGGGGTGGTGAGAGACAGGCAGCAATCAAGGATGGCTTTCAAGATCTTTGGCCCAAGCTGCTGGGTGGAACGTGGTGCCTGTCACTGAGTCCGGCAGCACAGGAGGAGGGGCAGGCATGCCGAGAGTGGGGATGGGTGGGTTCATTTTGGGACATGCTGAGTAGTACTTGCTATGGGACTCAGCAACTTATAACTTGAATGACTTTGTGCCTACTGTGCCTCATCTGTAATAGGAGATGATCTAATCCCTTTGTGCCTACCGTGCCTCATCTGTAATAGGAGAATAAGAATAATTAGAAAAAATGACTAATTTGTTTCATTCGTTGAGTCTAGGAGACAGTTCTTTTATACCGCAGAGTGGTATTTTCTTGTCAGGTCCTCCCAGGTAAAATGGGAATGTCTCAACTTGCCCATACACTGGCTTGATTTTTATCTATCTGCTTTGGGTATCACCACCACTCAGCATGTATTGCCAATACAAAAAAAAAAAAAACCACACACACCATAAATTCAAAGTAACTGGTGTTTATTATCACGTGTGTGCCACATTGGCCTATCAGCCTGTCCCTCAGACGAACATACTTCTTCCTTCAAATCCTCTAATCTTCCTCTTGAAGCCCACCTCTCCTTCCAGGGGCTGGGGTAGGGCCTTTGGGACCCAGGTTCTCTAACACACTCTTCTCTGGGAAGTCGTTTCCAACTGCCTAGGATGCTGGATGGGAGGAGGTGAGTGCAACGGGCCTGTGGGGTTGTCAGTTGGCACAGGAAATCTATAGATTCAGGGAGAGGTGGATTTGGAAATGACAGTGTATGGCTGCACAGCATGAAGGGGATGAAGTCACAGACACCTGGATTTAAATCGAGACTCCACCATTTTTTAAATATCTTCTGTGACTTTGGGAAGGTTACTTAACCTCTCTGAGGCCAGTTACTTAATTTGTAAAATGAAATGATGATAATATTCTGGGATAATGGTTCATGTTTCCTTCCTTCACTTAAACCACAAAAACATTACTTTTTTAAAACTATAAACTCTGTTCACAGGGTGTCTTCTTCCAGGGTTAAAAAGCAATCTACTATCCATGTATCTGCTAGGACAAACACTGCTGCATGTCGCTTGACTCCTGACAAATGCCACGGCAAAGAAATCTCTGCACACTTTCGTGTTCTGGGAAGTCGTTGACCACAAAGGACCAGTATTATCCATGGGACTTATATAAGGGATGCCGTCTGTCCACTCTGTGCCATGACTTCCAGATTGCTGACCCAACCACTCCTTGTTCTTTTTTCTCAGGAATGATTCACTTAGACGGGAGGTCTGTCCTCCTGAAAGTAGCTAGGCACAGAGAGAAACATTCCCTGTTCAGCTGGCTGAGACTTCCGCTGATTACAAAAACAACCCCTGCCCCATAAATCTCCCCACTAAAACCGGTCTACTCCTTCCTATGAAAGTAAAAGACACACACTTCCCCCACCCCCACCCCGCACGCTTACTGCGACAGTGTGATTTCCACTTCTGGGGCGCTCTCCCTACGGCAGTAGCCAGAATCATTTCAATGTCTTGAATTGTTTAGTTTTTGTCTTTAAAGGGTGCATGTACTGCTCATGCAAAAACAGTAAATAATGAAAATGAAACGGCAGGTCAGAGGCGCACCCTAGCGTAAACCTCCCAGCCAATCATAGGAGAAATCGGCCTCCTCCCATGCCTCCAGCCCAGTTCCCTCGTCGCCTGCCCATGAAGTCACGTCCGCTTCCTGGAGTCTCTCCCATAGCCTCCGGAAGCATTCGTCCAGTTCACGAGACACGCTCCCGAGAGGGTCGCTCCAGGAACGCCGCGGCACACCTCCGGAAAGGGCGGCCTGCACGCCTTCTCCTGTCGCAGCCGAGCTGGGCGGAGGGGTTCGCGACAAAACACCCAGCTGCTCTCACATAGATACCCATTCGCTCCCTCTCCCGGCTCCCGGGCGGCTCGCGGCAGCCAATCGAAGGTCCAGTTTCTGGCCACCGTCGCATCCATGTGACGCTAGCTCAACCCCACCGACACCAGCTTCCGCGCTGTGGCCGGTCTAGCCTGCCGGTGGGCGGCTCCTCCCGGTTGTCTTAACCCTTCAATTCCGAGCCGGCCGCGCTGCGTTTCCAGGGCAGAGGAAACGAGGCGCCGCGCTGGCGCCTGGACGGCGGGAACCAGCTCCGGAGCGAGAACGCGCGTGAGAGAGCCCGAGAGAGACGGAGAGCGAGCGAGCGCGCGGGAGAGACTGAGAGCGGGGTCGGGGGTGTGAGAGAGACTTTCAGAGAGACAGAGCGAGAGGCCCAGACCGAGGCTGTCCCTAGCACAGGCCAGGGTGTCTTGGGACTCGAATCCCTGGGTTGGGCCGGCCGGCAGCGGGGCTTTCGGAGGAAGCGGGTGGTTTTCCCCGTCGTCCATATCTCCCCAGTATGGGAATGGCGGTCGCGCACTCTGGGGGTGGCGTCGTTCTCTTTCCCTGCTTGGGGGTGGCTTTTTTCAGCGGAGAAAGAGGATCCCGAGACGCCCTGGGCATTCGTAGCCGGCCGGGCTACACTTGGGCTAGGATCAGTGTTCAACGGGTCCAGAAATCACCGTGTCCTTGGCATCACCTCCCTCCCCACCTCCTCTCCCACCACACAGCAGGAGACACAGTGACTGGAGGGTTTTCAAGGAGGACTGCATTGCCCCTATTGAAACAAACTGTCCGACAAACCCTTTCTCGGACGTGTGACAGAGAGACGGTCATGATGTGACATATGAGTAGACATGCGTTTAATGGGCGCTGTGATTGCTGCATTCGTGCGCAATGAATGGTCCAGGCCATTTGTGTCCAGTAGCCGCACGAGCTGCAGGGTTTCGTGTTTGGAGAAGGAGGGCCTCTCCGCCGTCCACCTTGCTGGAGTACAGGCGACCTGGGCAGTAACTCTCTGCGCCATCAGAAATGTGGTGCTCTGAGTAGCCACAGATTTCCATCTGCATCTCCAATACCATTTCCCTCGACTGACATATCCCTGTTGGGTGCGTTGGATTTGTGCGTGGGTGTGAGGGTAATTTGGTGTGTTTGCTCACAAAAGGAAAAGCGAATGGCCTTGCTGGCTGAGCTTATCAGGGCACTAACAGTGGAGAGGGAAAGGACTACGGTATTCTTAGGAGCAGAATCTCAACAACTCCCTGTAAAATGGGCCCTGTGTCTTAACCTGGAATGCTTTGGCATTTAATAAAATTTCCCGTGAATGCTTTTCATAGGGAAGCAGTTTTTACTGTTTCTGGTTGGACAGTGGTTACATTTCAAATCGTAGTTCAGAATTTGTGAAATACCCAAATTAAATCTCTACATGGCAGTAATCCATTTCCTTTCCTTAGTGTGTGGTTGGAAGATAAGTGTTCAGTTCTGGGCTGGGCAATCATGCTGGGCACAGAAAATTTAGATTCTTTAAGGGAGGGGCCTGATGTGCTAAAATGAAATCTACACCATATTTAGCCGCTTATGAGAATATGAAGGTAAGGAGAGCCGCAGGTAAGTATATGTCAGTTAATGCGAATTAAAATGGGTGACAATATAAAGAGAGATTGGTGTCACAAATAGTGAAGTGACTTTTCTATTTCAGCAGACCTCAGTGAGAAATGGTCACCACCACTCCCTAGATGTGTGACCTTGAGTGAGTTGCTTAACCTCTCTGATCCTGTTACCTCATCTGCAACTGGGGATGATAATATATATCATAGCATGTCCTGGGAGAAGCTGTTCCTGACCACCTGGGCTATGGTGGTTTTGACTTCCTCTGTGTCAGAAGTACCCCCGTCTCATGCCTGCCATAATTGTCTTTTTATTTTGTTTTGGTGGATGGTCTCACCTGTCACCCAGGCAGGATTGTACTGGCCTCAACCTCCTGGGTTCAAGTGATCATCCCACCTCAGCCTCCCCAGTAGCTGGTACCCCAGGTGTGCAACATCATGCCTGGCTAAATTTTTTAAAATTTTTGTGGAGACGGTGATCTTGCCCTATTGTTCAGGCTGGTCTTAAACTCCTGGGCTCAAACAATCCTCCCACCTCAGCCTCCCAAAGTGCTTGGATTAGAGGCGTGAGCCACCATTCCTGGCTCCTTGGACAGTATTTTATTTCTCAGACTGAGATGTGTCCTTGAGATGGGGCTGCATTTGATAATTCACTGAAGGTACCACTGAATGGAGTGGACCCTCAGTAAATACCTGGAGGAATGTGACCTGGCCAGTGAGGTTATTTTCTTTTTAGGTGAAAGGTGTAACAGTCACTCGGCCTACACCCACAGTATCGACCTTGTGAACCCAGCGACCTGACTGCCTTGGGTGAGTCTAGGTAAGCTCCATTCTCGCCAGAGCCACCTTGCTCCTTGTCTTCCTCTTGCTGCTCTGACCACTCCTCTTGGTCCCTCCCCTGTACCCCTCCCTGGACTCCTGGTTGTACTCCCGCTGCTTCTCTATATACTCAGCTGCTGGGAGACCCCTGATACCAGCACCACACTTCACTGCTGTCTTCATTTTATTCTTTGTTTCTTAAAAGTGAGCATTGCTGGCTTTACTGACTACCTGTTCTTTTGTTACAAAGCTGCTAAAAATTGTATCTCTTCCACTCCAGACCCAGTAGGATAGAGATAATCTGTGTAGACATAAAAAATATAGAACGTCTGCAAGTTGTGTGTAGGACAGACTCATTCCTCAATCTGTGTGGCGTTGCATGGCTAGGAGTTAGATTCCTTTGCCATGACATGACATGAGACTTAGGAGCATAGTTTTCAGCACCCAGCGACCTTGCACGGATCTTAGTCATTTTGCTGTAGGATTTTGCCATTTCTAGAAAAAATTCCATGTTTAATTGGGATTATTAAATGAAATCTGTGTCTTTAAACTGAAGTAAATGCCCCACATCCTCCTTGTTGCATTTGATATTTGTAAATGTCCACTGGGCTCAAGGCTCTATGATGGGTGAACAAGACAAAGTCCCCGGCTTCTCTCAGCCCCTGGGCTAGTGGGTTGACAGAGAAATAACCATCTGTTGACAGCTGAGTGGGATTGGGGCTGGGACAGGGGAAATACAGGGCATTTTAGGAGCTTGAAGAAGGCCTCCTGGGGGAAATGCTATCTCAGCTGGGTCCTGCAGGGTGAATTAGAGGTCAAAGTCTTACCAGGAGCCATTGCAGTCCCCAACTGTCCATCGTCATCCCATTCTACCTGCTGAGGTGGTGAGTTGCCTTTCTGATCAGGCCTGACTGATGAGGGATTTTTCTTTACTCACAGCTGAAAGAGACGTCTTGATCTGGTGACATTGTGGGAATGTTTTTTGAGGGCCCAATAGAGTGTAGTGGTTAGGGACACTAGCTCTGATTCTAGGCAGGCTTCCAACCGAGTTCTCTCCATGGCAATCATATAACCTTGAGAAAATTGTCATCCTCACCTGTGAAGTGGGTTTTTATTTTTCATACTAACAATACCAAACTGAGAGGGGTGTGTTTGTGAGTATGTGTGTGTGTGTTCAGTACATATTCGAACTGTTTCTGATACGGTTCTGTCTTTCTTACCCCAGTGTGTGCTGATAGCCACGATTTGGTAAATAAACATTCAGAGGACCAGTATCCTCTGAAGAAAACTGGTGAATTCTTGGTTTCCACGTTTGTCAAAAGAATAGAGCCTGGAAGGCTGATCTAAAGTTTCCATTTAGCATTTAATGTCAATTTTTGGTTGCATTCATCCAAGATGTATTTATCAAAACAATACAGAGAGATACCCTTACTGCAAAATATGCCATTGGGTTTTTTCACTTAACCTACAGCAAGATTGACTTTTTTCCCTCAGGAGTACAGTTCTGTGAGCTTTGACACAGGCATACATTCTTGTCGCCGCCACCACCACAGTCAGGATCCAGAACAGTCCCATCACCCCAGGGTGCTCCCAGGAACTGCCCCACTGCGGTTACCCCTTCTTCATCCATCATCCCTGGTGTAAAGTGATCTATTTCCTTCCCTCTAGGTTTGTCTTGGGGAGAGTGTTATGTCAATGACACCAAACAGTTTGTGGCCTTGTGAGGCGGGCTTCCTTCTTTTGGCCCGACGAACATCTTGGATGAGTGTCAGATGCCTCTGTCATAGGCTGTTCTTTTTTCACGAAAGCAGTTTCGCTGTGTGGAAGACCACAGGTGTTCAGCCATCCTTCTACTGAATGACATTTTCCTCACTCCAGTGTGGGGCAGTTTTGCGTCGAGCTGCTTTTACAATTCAGTGCAGGCTTTTCTGTGAACCTAAGTTTTCATTTCTCTAGGGTAGATACCAAGGAGTGGGATGGCTGGGTCCTATGATCAACATCCGTTTGACTTACAAGAAACTGCCAAACTCCTTCTCAAAGTTGCTGTGCCATTTCGCCCTCCCAATTGCAAAGTGTGAGAGTTCCAGTCGCCCAACATGTTCTCCTTGCTTGGCCTTGCCAGTCTTCACGGTGTTAATTTGCATTCCCTTAATGCTGAATGATGTTAAATATGGTTTCTTGTGCTCCCGTTCAAGTTTTTCCCCCATTTTCTAGTGGGGTGTTGATTTTCTTATTGCGGAGTTTTGAAAATACGCCATGTATTTTGGATATAAGATCTGTCAGGTGGGTGATTCTCAAACATTTCCTCCTAGTGGTGCAACTTCGATTTTCATTCTCTGAACACACTGGCTCTTACACAGCCAAAGTTGTGTTGTGTTGTGTTGTGTTGTGTTGTGTTGTGTTGTGTTCTGTTCTATTCTATTCTATTCTATTCTATTCTATTTATCTAGAGACAGGGGCTCGCTATGTCGCCCAGACTGGAGGGCAGTGGCTCGATCTCGACTCACTGCAAACTCTGCCTCCTGGGTCGAGCAATTCTCCTGCCTCAGCCTCCCCAGTAGCTGGGGACTACAGGCATGTGCCACCACGCCAGCTAATTTTTGTATTTTTTGGTAGAGACGGGGTTTCACCATGTTGGCCAGGCTGGCCTCGAACAACTGAACTCAAGTGACCTGCCCACCTTGGCCTCCCGAAGTGTTGGGATTACAGGCGGGAGCCACCGAGCCCGGCCAGAGCCAGAGTGTTAAATTTTGCCAAACTCCTATTCATCCATCTTTCCTTTCCATGGATCATGCATCTCAGGTCATGTCCTAGCCTCCCCTCACAAAGATGTCTTCCTACGGTTTCTCCCAAAAGTCTTAGTATTGAACTTCGGTTTGTAGGTCTCTGAACCCTTTTTCCTTAATTGCATGTAAAGGTTGAGGTTGAGGTGCTTCTTTTTGCATAAGGATAGGCCACCTCATGCATTGAAAAGCTTATCCCTTCTCCATTGGATTCCCTCTCATACCCATGTCAAAACTTATGGGACACATTTCTATGGATGGATTGATTCATGGACTCTATTTTATTCCATGGATCTACTCGTCTACCCCTGTAAGCCAGCAATCTCGATTATTACAGCTTTAGAGCAAATCTGAAAATCTGATAATATGATCTCTCTAAATCCCTTCTGCTTTTTGAAACATCAAATATTCTACGTGAATTGTAGAATCTGCTTGTTTATATATGCAAATGTCCCTCAAGGATTCTGATAGGCAGAGACTGCATTCATTCTCCAGATCAAATTGGGGACAATGGACTGTTAACCTTTTGGGGTCTTTAAATATGGGAACACATTGTTTCTCTCCATTTAACTAAATCTTCTATGATTTCTTCATTACCGTATAATAGTTTTGGGCATGCAGACCCCTTCCATGTATTTTCGCTCTATACATAGCCATTTCATTGTGTTTGTAGCTTTTGTAAAACAGTATTATTTCTTAAATTTAGGTTTCCAGTTACTCATAGGATTGTTTTCCGTGTGTTGAGTTTCTCTCCTGTATCGCTGCTAAGCTCTCATTAATGAGCACTAAGCTCTTATTAGCTCTGAGAGTCTGGAGGAGATTCATTGGTTGTTTCCTGTAGACGATCACAGGATATATGAAAAGGAGTACTTTGGTTTCTTGCTTTCTCTGACGTGTGCCATGACTCTTCTGGCATTATAGCACTGACTAGGCCTCCAGCGTGACGTTAAATAGCTGTGGTGAGAGTGGACGTCCTTGCCTGGTTCGCATCCTTAGGCAGAAAGCATCCAGTCGTTGACCATTAAGTGGCTTGTTAGTTGTAGGTTTGACTGTACACGCCCTTTTTCAGGTTGAAGAAGTTGTCTTGTGTTCCTAGTGTGCTACAGCTTTTATATCACCAGTGGACTTGGAATCTTATTGAATGGTTTTTCTGCGTAGCTTGATGTGATCCTGTCATTTTTGTTCTTCATCTGATCTCTCAATCTGTGGATTACATTGATTGATTTTCAGGTGTGGGAAGAACAACCCTTGCATTCCTGCTATAAAACCCACTTGATGGTGGCTTATTATTCTTCTCACATACTGCTGAATTCCAATTACTAAGTTTTGTTGAATACTTTGGTGCCTGTATTAGGAAAGAATACTGGTCTGTCCTTTTCTTGGTATCCCTGCGGTGCTGGCCTCATAAAATCAGCGGGGCACATTGCCTCTGCTTTGTTTCCTAGAAGAAGTTGGGTAAGTTGGTGATATTTGTTCATTAAACGTTTGGTAGAATTGGCCAGTGAAACTGTTGCGGCCCAGAGATCTTTTTGCAAATGTGTTTGCCTGTGAATTCGACTTCTTTGAAACATACAGGACTGTGACACAGTTCAGTGTTTGAAATCCATCCTGTGTGAGTTTCCATAGCTTGTGGTTTTCAAGTATGTGCTACATTTCCTCTGACCTGTGGAATATGAATCTGTAGAGTCGTGTGTGTTCTTACCATATTGACCCTTTTATGTTTTCTGGGTCTGGAGTGCAGTCTCTTCTTGCATTCCTGATAACTGGTAACTTGTTTCTTTGCCCTCTTTTTTCCCAGCCCGTCCTGCCACGGGTGTATCAATTTCATTGATCACTTCAAAGAACCAGCTTTTGGATTAATTGAATTCATCTATGTGTTTTTCTCTTTGAAGTCTCCTGGGGGTTTTTGCTTCTGTTATTTAGTAAAATAAATTCTTATCCACACTCGGAATTTGGAAACGATTTCCATAGGCATGAGCAGCCCTTTTGACTAGATGCAAACCCAGTGGTCGGGAAGGTGAACATACAAAAGGGTGTGTCCCCATGGTGCAAACGCTTACAGTTGAGTAAAAGTCTCCCTTGTGAATGGATGAAAAATGAACGCTCATGGGCAGAGCATCTGTGAGTCACGCCTTGATTATTCTACAAATGATGCTTGGGAAGGGATTGGAAAGTGTCAGCAGGGAATTGACATCGTCGAACTGCATCGCAGCCTTTTGCACTCCGTGTCACGTGGATGCATTAGTTGGTATCATTTCTAAATCCTTTATTAGATGGCATTAAATTCTAAACTGGTGACATGTATGATCTCACGTCATCCTCAGAAGAAGCCTAGGACAGGGTCTCTGTATAATCTCCATTCTACACACAGGAAGTGGAGGGACAGAGAGGTTGAGTAAGATGAATAATCATGTGTTTTCTTCTGGTCTTATCACCTTGTGTTGCAGTCTGGGTTCTGCCCGCACACATTCCTCGCTACCTTCTTCGTGTCTGAGAATCTCCAGCTTCACCTCCTTTTCTGGACCCAAGGGCCTGGCGGGGCTTCCAGCTGGGACCAGACCTCCATGGATCCACTCCAGAAACGGAATCCAGCATCACCTTCCAAATCTTCCCTGATGACAGCTGCAGAGACTTCCCAGGAAGATCCAGCGTCCTCTCAGCCTTCTTACTCAGAACAGCCGATGATGGGCCTCAGTAACCTGAGCCCCGGTCCTGGCCCCAGCCAGGCCGTGCCTCTCCCAGAGGGGCTGCTCCACCAGCGGTACAGAGAGGAGAAGACGCTGGAAGAGCGGCAGTGGGAGAGGCTGGAGTTCCTTCAGAGGAAGAAAGCGTTCCTGCGGCACGTGAGGAGGAGACACCGCGATCACATGGCCCCCTATGCTGTTGGGAGGGAAGCCAGAGTCTCCCCGTTAGGTGACCGAGGTCAGAATCGATTCCGATGTGAATGTCGATACTGCCAGAGCCACAGGCCAAATCTTTCTGGGATCCCTGGGGAGAGTAACAGGGCCCCACAACCCTCCTCCTGGGAGACGCTGGTGCAGGGCCTCAGTGGCTTGACCCTCAGCCTAGGCACCAACCAGCCCGGGCCTCTGCCCGAAGCAGCACTCCAACCACAGGAGACAGAGGAGAAGCGCCAGCGAGAGAGGCAGCAGGAGAGCAAAATAATGTTTCAGAGGCTGCTGAAGCAGTGGTTAGAGGAAAACTGAGACGTGCGCCCACATGGGATAGAGACCCAAAGGGACTGCTGTGTTGGCAGCGCCTGGGTGTGGGCCCATTTTGGGGACCAAACACCAAGCTGTGGTCGGATGAGTGCCAGGACCTGTGTGCCGGGACACATGGGAATCCTCCCAGCATGATGCTTGACTGACCCCAGGAAGGTCCTCATCTTTCGTGCCTGTCATTCTCGGATGGCTGTGAGGCATTCCTTGGCAAGGGACGCTGCATACCAGCGGTCCTCGCCGCATCTCACGTGGCTCCCGTGATGCATGTTGTTGCTTTCCCACCCGGGATCTCCATCTCTCTTCCCTTCCTGCTGTCAGTAAGAGATCACATGTCTGTGTAGTGTGAATGCCTTGTCGCTGTCCTGTGCTTTTGCACCATTGAGTTGACTGCCTCTGAGAAGCAGCACTAGGCCTGTTGAATTGCAATGTGCTGCCCTGAGATCCAGTTTCAAGAATGGGCAGCTAAACGCAGTGTGGGAAAGGGATGTGGAATGAGAACTTGGTGGTTCACCGCTGTACTGTCTGTGTAATCATTTATGTATGTGGTAAGCTACATGTATGTAAATATTGCAATACCCCTAACAGCCGAGTAGTATTCTCCCTTGCAGGAATTTCTGACGGGGTTCTTCATCATCAGTACCAAATAAATATATGTAGGAATGGAAAATGGGTGTAGAATTCAGGTTTGTTCCTCAGTATTGGTTGGTTTCTCATTAGATCTGAGCTGACTACCTTGAAATCTCCCCAAGCAGGGGATCCGGGTTTATTGAGGGAAGCTCTACGCTGTGGAGACTGGGAACGGGGGAGGGAGGGCACCAGAGAACACAGCCCAGTCACTGTTTGAGCCCTGCAGCGGGACCAGCATCCAGACCGGCGAGGCAGGGCCATGACTTCGAAGAGAGGCTTCCTGTGCACAGGAGACGTGGAAGCAGAGTCCACCACCCACGGTGAGAGCCCTGCGTGTTGGTGCTGGTGCCCTGGCTTAGGGGCTGCGGCGCCATTGCTTGTTGTGTGGTGGGCCCAGGTGGCCGAACCTGAGCAACGGTTTGCACCTGCTTTGTCAGAACCAGAGCATCCTTGGGTTCTTCCAACATCTTATTGGGATTTAGACATGTGTGTCTTTTAATTTCAGGAGGCACAAATGATTAAATCTCTCTCTTTTTTTTAACCTCTGCAGAATCCTGAGATGTGAACCCAGCCAGTACCCGTGTGACTCCTCTGAACTGAAAACAAATTCTGCTTTGTGTCAGTCTGTTTTAGGTAGTCCCCAGAGCTGTCTTGCTGCAAAAGTCTATGCGTCTCCTGCCGACAGAAGTGGCTTGAAAACAGGTAAGTGTCTTAGGTTCTGATGCTGAGATCTCATGAGAGAGTTGACAGTTGGACTGACCTAGCTCCAGGGGAGAAGGGAAAAAACAGCAGGGCTATTCCTTCTTGAAACACAAAGGCCTAAATGCAGACCGGTAAATCTCGGAGGGCTTCAGAGGGGTTCGGGTTTCAAAGGGGTTCAAGGCGTTGCCCTTTGGCTGATGTTTCCTAGGGTTCTGACGGTATTTTCCCCATTTCTGTATGTCAGCTGCCTTCCTCCACTCCCACACACCCATCCTCTAGCAACATTTTCAGTTCCGCTTTATGAATTTGGAAAGCAGAACACCAGAGAAGTTAGGGAACTAGCCCACGGTGGCACAGGCAGTAAGAGGTAGAACAAGCATCCGAACCAGCACCCGAACCTAGGCAGGCTGGGATCGGAGCTGGCCCCCTTCAGCAGTTCACCTCTGTGAAGGCTGTGGGTGAAGTGCCTAGAGCCGGGCTTTGGTGCTCATTTCATAGCTGGTAGCACCAGGTCTTGGTGAGATCCATCGCTGAATCCTCCACACAGTGCCGTGGGCCAGGTACAATCATCCCCACCTTGCGGAGAGTTTGTGCAGGTCCTAAGGTGGTGGCCAGAGATGCATGCATTTGTCTGACTCCCCAGCCACTCAGATGCTCTCTGCGGACCTTCTCAGCCCAGTAAGCACACCAGGTCCGTGCTGCCAGTGACAGTCATCATTTCAGCAATCATCAGGGTTTCCATTTTCTCACCTTGCCTCTCTCCCTTCTGGGCTACGTCGACTGTCGTGGTGGGGAGGTGAGGAGGAGTTGCAGAGGTAGCCCTGCTCCGGGGGATTGAGCGATTCATCAGGGAGAGAGAGCTGACCCCATCTTAGTCTGTGTCCTTCCGCTATATCATGAAATACAACGGGCTGGGTGCTCTGGATTGGATATGGTGTGTTTATCCCCACCAAGAGTCAGGTTGAAGTTGAATCCCCAGTGCTGCAGTGTTGGGAGGTGGGTCCTAGTGGGAGGTGTTTGGGTCATGGCAGGGATCCCTCATGAATGATTCAGTGTCCTGTGATGCCATCCTGCTGGGCTGAGTTCTTACTCTCACAGGTATGAATTAGTTCGCAGGAGAGTGGATTGTTCACAAGATTCTGGCCTCCCTGGATTCTCTCTCCCTTCCTTCTTTCCAAGTGATCTCGTTGCACACGCCAGCTCCTCTTCCACTTTCCACCATGAGCTGAAGCAGCCCGAGGCCCTCACCAGATGCAGTTGCCCAACAATGAATGTTTCAGCCAGCAGAATTGTGAGCCAGATAAACCAATTGTTTCTTTTAATTTAAAAGGTGTATTTATATGAATTGTTTTTAGAGACCGGGTGATGCTCTGTTGCCGACGAGAGTGGAGTGGCACGATCATGGCTCACTACAGCCTTGAACTCAGGTGGGATGCTCCCACCTGAGCCTCCCAAGTAGCTCAAGGATGTACTGCCATGCCAGGCTAATCTTTAAATGTTCTGTAGAGATAGTGTCTGGCCGTGTTGCCCAGGCAGATCTCGAACTTCAGGCCTGAAGTGATCCTCCCACCTTGGCCTCTCAGAGTCCTGGGATTAACAGGCACGAGCCACCGTGCCTGGCTTCCAGTTTTCTTTAGAAATGAGCCAGTCTCAGGTATTCTGTTATAGCAAAGCAAAATGAACCAAGACAGCTGGCAATTTGTAATAGAAACAAATTTATTTCTCATGACCCTGGATGCTGGGAAGTCCAAAACGAAGGTACCGGTATCTGGTATCTGGTGAGAGTCTTCTTGGTATTTCCTCACGTGGCAAAAGGTGGAAGGACAAGCCGGGAAGAATGTTATGTCCTCACATAGCAGACGAGGAAAAGAGAGAGCAAGCCGACTTCTGCAAGCTCTTTTCATAGCAGCATTCATTCACTCACGAGGGCTCTGCCGTGATGGCCTGAACACCTGCTGTTATTCCACACCTCCCAACACTGTTGCAGTGGGGATTAATTTCACTGAGTTTTGGAGGGAACACAAATATTGAAACGCTAGCAGGCACGCATTATTGTGTCAGAGAACGGGTGTTTGATCCTGTGCGGTCCCAGTCCCAGGAGATGAAAGGAGTGAGAAGGATCTGAGTTGGAAAAACCGGACATCAGGGGCTTGCTCAGGGAGGTCACAGATGCACAGTGCCACAGGGTCTCCAGGAACAGGCATGGAAAATGGGTGGGTGGCGGTAACTGAGGCACTCGGCACACCCTCCACATCCTCACTTCCAGGTCTTTGTCCCTGTACCTGCGTGTTGGGGGTGGATGGGACTTGGGGGTCTTGTCTGAGACACCATACTATCCCAAGTTACAGACTAGGATCTGCAGTCCTGTGATGTCCACAGGTGTCCAGCATGCGACATTTCAGAGTAGAGACCAAACCAAAAGCACCAGCAGGCGAGAAAGATTGGGACAGGGAAAGGTGCAAATGCAGTGATCACGTGGGACATCGGAGTAGACCCAGAGAATGTAAGGAAATAGAAAGACTACATTAAAAATTTTCCCACTAGGGACGGTCTAGGCTCCGGTGCCTCGTTGGTGAAGTCTATCCAACATTTACAAAATACATAATACCAGCCCTTCACAGATTCTTTCAGAATGTAGAGGAGGAGGGAACATTTCCCAACTCATCCTCTGAAAATTGTATTACCCTGCAACTAAAGGCAGACAGAGGCTGGGCGTGGTGGCTCACGCATGTAACCCCAAGATGTTGGGAATCCGAGGCGGGCGGACCACCTGAGGTCAGGAGTTTGTGACCAGCCTGGCCAACATGGTGAAACCCCGACTCTACTAAAAATGCAAAAATTAGCCGTTGGCAGAGCAGTGCTGGTGAGTGCACGTTACGTGTGTGTCTGTGTACGTGTGTGGCACGTTCCTGGTTCTGCGCAGGCAGCCTGTGGGTGCGTGCACTAGTGACTGTCAATCCTCTGTCTGTGGGCAGGCTCCCATAATCCATGTACATCCCTGAATTCCACTGCCGGTTTTTCTGTTCACCAATCTCAGGACCTGGCTTCAGTTTCCCTGGTAACCACCTCAGCCCTTAGCTTCAACCTCTGAGCACAGGAAGACAGCCAGAGTGGAGGAGGTGGTGTCTCACCCACAGGGCCCCTGCGAGCTGAGCACCCCAATGGGATGAGTGGCAGCACGGTTACCAAGACAACAGAACTCTCGACCCTTTCCACCTGCAAGCTCTTCTTTCTCCCTCTCCTGGGCCTGCGAGTATCAGTCAGAAAAGGGAAAGGCTGTGGCG